GCTAGAATTGTGTACTCTGGGATTACACAAGCCAGTTCGAAAAAATCTCCAACATCAATGAAAATTCACCTGAGCCACTTAAAATATAACAGTTTATTAAAAATTAGTGATCCATTTCCACTCAATGCACTGCAGAAAGTCAGAGGAAAATACTGTATTATTGATTAACAAGTTTACTCCATCAACTTATTTCCCTTGCAAGACTTGAGATTTAGAATCCAGAACAAAATGAAAGCTCCTGTGGTCAGAAAGCAGCTTGTTCACAGAATGTCAGTTAAATTCTGAACAGTCACCATAATTTGATGTCTCTGGTAAAAACAATTACAGTAGTCCAAGGTGCTTTATAAACATTAATGAATTAAGCCTCAAGACCCCTCTGAGGTAGGGAGTGTCTCACCCCGATTTTCACTGATGAGGAAAATGAGGCTCACCAAGGTTAAGTGACTTGTCTGAGGTCACACAGCGAGTCAGTGGCAGATGCTGGGATTAGAGCCCAGGTCTCCAAGTCTCTCAGTAAAACCTCCGTTTTCCCAATAGAAGGGGTTTGGCATGCCATTTGGTTATACAGAAGACTTTTTTTTTTTAAAACGCAAAGGATTGTCAGAAAACATGATTCAGTTTTGGATTGTTTGGTCAGAAGCGTTCAGAAGAACCAAACTTACTCTGGTTTCCGGGTGTTTGAAGACCAGAACAAGCATTTTCTATGCCAGCCAGAATGCAGCTCTCAGAAATAGCGCAGTGTCAGTCACTCCCGTGCCTCACCGGTCCGGATTATTTATTTATTTTTCATCATTTAGTACAAGAGAAAAAAAGTCAGCGAAATGGAACGTTACCATGGGATAAATGCCTCCCATTCTGAAGCTTAAATGTCAAGGCGAAGGTTAAACATTTAGTTTGTCTCAGCATTTATCAAGCAGTAGGAGACGGCTACCCTGCAATGCTATCCCAACTGATGTTATCACCTAATTAAAACTGATATTAAAGTGCTGCTTAATATAAGACATTCGTTTGGAAAGCTCCAAGCCCTCTTCCCTGTAGAAAGGAGGCGGGTATTTGCAATTCATTAGGACCCCATTTCAGAGAATGCAGCTTTCCCAGCACAGACGCCATATAAACAGTCCCCTGTCAAAGGGGTCATGTGCAGATGTCAGTTAAGATTTCCCATTCATCCCCTTAAGTCTATCATCATAATCTGAATGCATAAAGTTCACTTAAAACACAAGTGTGCAGACGATAGCAGGGCTTCAAAAAGACTGCACCAGCTAATGATTGCTTGCTGGTGTAGTTAAAATTCACACGCTGCAAATGAGGAAAAGAGGTTCTCTTTTCTTTTCCTCCAAAAGGCTATTTTAGGTAGTCACAGGCACATCAATAGAATGCAAACGTAGGTGATTATGGTCTTTGTAGGAAGTTATTACAGATCTCTTAACGTGCAGCTGTGAATGCCATAAATTAAAAATCTACGCTGTCGTAATGAGGGGGATCATAATATGTGCTATTTAAAAACAGCAGAGAAAATATTCTCAGCAAGAATGGCTGCTTTGTCAACCCTGCAAAGGGGATTTTACTATAAATAAGCAAAGATTGTGCTTAGAACAATGACTATTTCAAAGCTGCATTATCCTTCACAATGATACTTGTTCTCAATTATATAAAATGTCAAAAATGTAACCTAGGATTCAATAACATCTAAGCAATTTACATCCTTTAAGTAAATAAAGAATGGTTAAAATGATAATACAGAGCACAAGTTACATCAAAACTACTACTATTAAATATAAGCAGAATCTAGGTAGTCATACTATACAATCAACATGTCAGGGTTTAGGTGCAATAAAAGAGAACATTCAATTAACATTCTGTATTGAAATATGCAGAAGTCTTTTTTTAAAAAAAATCATTAGAACATTCAACCCTTTTGGTCAAAAAAAAAAAAAATGTTTCCAATGATTTAATATGGTAACAATGAAACTGCCCTTTCCTGCATTTGGATTTGTGAGACTATGTAAAACTGTCCAACGAGGTAATCACACAGGCCAGAAAAACCTAGTATGTTTTATGCTCTATATAGCTACAGTACTGTCTTACTTAGCAAGCCTAATACTACAATCATTTAACACTGTGAAGATGTGTTTATTAGCACAGGGTCCATACCTTTCTCTACGAATGCTGAGGATCTCCTGACATTCTCCCACCCTGGGTCTATCCCTGGGGCGGGTGCACCACTGCTTGTAACAATGGGAGTGCTAGTTTTGACCAGCCACAGGCATTTTAACTTGTCACCTAACCATGCCCTGAACAGCTCTGATTGCTCCCATTAGTTTCCCAGAAAAAAAGGCGTAGATCATCCCAAGAGTCCCTGGATTCACAGAACTCGTATTTCAGAAGTTATAGTATGGGGAAATTGACGTTTTTTAAAATAACCAGAAATCAGAGATCTCAAAAGCCTTAGTCAAAACAAATCTCAGCAGCTGTATTTCTGCTGGCGTGATGTCAAAACCATCTGAAAAACAAAACATCACAGAAAGCAATAAAAAGCAGGTTATTGATTTTTATAGTGTTTTAAAGAGGCCTTTCAGAAAAAGGCAGGTGCGGTTGCATTACTGTGGCAACACTCACTGCTGGATGTGAGGAGAATTAAGAGATCACTTTCCACATGCAGGAGGCATGGCCAGACAACAAGGATAGAGAATCTGTGGCAATTAATGCTCTGTAAAGAGGCACATACAATCTTGTTTTTAAAAGACAAAAACCTAATTGAGGCCGATCCCCTATTCTTTCCAAAGATCTATTCCCTCCAAAATACCCAACCGGCCCCATGCATGTTACAGCTTCACGCTGTGAATTGAAAGACTTTGCAGGAAAATAATCCCATGGGATTTTGCTTTTAAATTTGCACACGAGTGGAGTGCTGTGAAAAGAGCGCCAGCCTGTTGGTCTTGAAGATTGAAGTCCCCCATTTATCTAAAGAACAGGTACAGAATGAGCAGTGGCAGAGCATGCTTACCACAATGCTCTCCCCATCTACCTTACACCTGGTGTGGAAGGGGGCAAAGGGGAATTCGGTCTCCATGGTCCTTTCCATCCTTGGCCATTCTGCCAACAAGTCACTTGTTGCCAATTGTGGTGGAGGTGTTATGATGTGGAGCCCTGGCTACCGAGAACTAGACTGAGACCCCTCAATTAATATCAAATACATGCCACTAAACAGCCATCAGAGGGTAACAGCTTGTGGTCACAACTAGAGCGGGGCAAAGTTTTTGGGTGAATAGAAATTTTGTCAAAAAATACACAGGGGAGGGCTCTGAAACTATTAGTGAATTTGGGTCACAAATAGTTTTGGCCAAAAAAAATGAAAAAAAAAAAACATTTGGAAATATCAAAATGTTTTGAAGCGTTGCTTTGAAATAACATTCCAAATGTTTTGTTTGACCCAAACAATAGTTTTTCATTTTTTCATTTTGTTGAGAAAACACAAAAAGATTCCATCTTGGTTTGAAATAATTTTTTTTCCCCAGATTTTTTGTTTCAGTCACCAAACAAAGAAAAAAAAAAAATCATTTGCTCAGCTCTAATTAGAGGTGATCTGGATTTGAGCTGGTGACCTAGAGATGAAAGATCTTATGACCAAGATTTTCAAACACGATTAATGACTTTGCATGCCCAGCCTGAGACTCCTTAAAGGGAACTGATCTGCAGAATGCGCCGACCAACCGGCCTCTAAAAATCAAGCTCATGTAAGAGGTCTCAAGTTGGGCACCCAAAATAATTAGGCCAATTTTTCAAATGTGACTATATTTTTCCCCATTACCCAAGTTTATGCATTTTATCTGCCAATTAATAAATAAAACAATTCGCTATCTTACTCAGTTTATAGCTTAAATACATCTAGGGAAATAAAATATACTTAACACTGTAACCTGAAAGCATTATTTGTTAACCACCACATTCCATGGGCCATTTAATGACTTTTCAAAGAAAAAGCTCTATGTAGTTGAAGTATTCAAAATCTTTTGTCTAACCAGACTGCTGTAGATTGGGATCTTTGTCTTGAGACAGGGAGAACACTAAATGCGCTGAGTAGCTCGGGTTTTTAAATGGTTTATTATGCTGGGAGGCTAGGCCAGTCTAGCATCCAAACCTCATTTCTCTCCCCGTAGACTACTCTGAAGGCAATAAAACCCCCACACCTGCTGCAGCCTAGTCACATATTTTAAAAGGCCTCGGAAACAATCCGTATTTTTTCTTTGAGACGGTAAGTCAGCCAGTTTGAGCATTAACAAAGGGTCAAACCCTGAGAAATTGGAGCTTACTTGCTTGAACTGGAACTTGCTTGGATTTGGCCCCAAAACATCATTTCTAAATTGAGACCTTGTCTACACGTGGGACAAGCCCCAACTCGGCCTTTGGGGACTAGCAACCAGCGTAGCTGCACCACTGCTGATGCCTAAGCGTAAGCCGGGGCAGGCTGTGGTTTGCACCTATTACGAGTAGAGGTGAGTCTCAGTCAGACGAATTGGTACAAACCCAGGCATGCCCTTGTCTACGCTTTGCACTCAGCACCAGTCCAGTTACATCAGGATATTCCCGAGCAGTGATTCTAACCCCCATCCCCACACACTGAGCCCAAATTCTCCTATGAATAGAAAAAAGAAATAATTTCTCATGAAAGCAATGGAAAGTGAAGCTCGGAAAAATCCTACCATCCAGCACCACTGGGCAAGCAACAAGCCAGTCTAGACGGGTGGCAATTAATTGCTGGCTGCTAGACAAACTGCTGCCCTGCATTAAAACAATCCTAGATGCAATAATGAACCGGGGCACACCGCTAATTGCGCATTATATAGTCATCTCCCGTGTGCAGTAGGGCTGCCCCTCCCTCCCCCAAACAACCACCAAACATTGAGATCGGAGGCCAGTTCTTATCTGAAGCCTAAAGTTGGCTGCCTTGGTTAGTCAGCAAACCCAGATGTTTGAAGTGCCAGCTGGGGTCACCAGTTGTCCTCAAGGGGGAGAGAGACAGGAAAACTTTGGGCTTGATTTTCAGGTGCGCTGAACACCTGCATCTCCCACTGGTTTCAGCTGGAGTTGTGGGGGCTCAGAACTTCAGAAAAATCAAGCCCTTAAGTTTTCATCTGGGCTACCAAATAAGTTGGGACCATCATGTTCTCTCACTGGATAGTCACGTTTAAGATCAAAGCTCAAGTCCAAAAAACCCTAAGTCCAAAGAGAGTTGACACTATAGTACCAAGAAGGGAGGGGTACACACTTGACACATCAGCTCTCTTTTTTAAAATATATGTTTAAAAAACCATTTGAATCACAAAAGATTTTTTTAAAAACATAATTATAAAAAAATGTCAGCTGAAGAAACGGTTTAAAATTCAATATAAAAAGTCCCGGGGCTGCACAGAGATAGAGCTCCACTCTATAACAAGGTGTAATGGCCACTATCCCTCCACTCCCACCTCCTGGCCTCAGAGGGGACTTAGAACAGAAACACATGGACAACTCCAGCTGTGCGAGAGTGAATGCGCTAAGAAGCTTTCTTTGGTCTACACTTTAGTTATTTTCCCTCAATCACCCTGTTTTTTTCCTAGCTTGAGGAAAGATGACACCAAGCAGTGCTTAGGGGCCCTCTTGATCTAGTGACTAATTCTAGAGAGATTCCCTCAATTCCTCAGGATCTATTAACACAGGGTTCCTGCCCCACCCAAAGCCCCAGAGGGTAGGGGTCCCACTATGCCCATGATTTCGCCAGGGCTCTGTTTTCTTGTAAGCTTCACCACACCCACACCCTCACCTTTAGGATTTTTTTTTCTTAATAATCATATCATTTAATATTTACTCTCTAAATTTCCCCCATTTGGACCATTTGTTAGCTTGAGTCCTAAAAACTTGGTTTAAAGTGAGACAGGCTAAGCAGTTTCAGCACCAAGGGTGATCCTTGCACAAAAGGGGAAACGCCCTCTCTCATGTCATGGGAATCTAACTACTTGCTCCAGAAGGAAAGAGTAGCTTGGCCAGCGAGAGGTAGCGTTTGCTAAACGTGCTAGTGTTCGAATCCCACAGGGCATCCTTTGTAACAGAATTTAAAAACTAAGCAATTCCAGGGCACACAGCTCTTACGGTGTCTCTGGCAATGGGTTTTCAAACAGAAACATCCTCAAATGGAAAAATACATCGCTTCTCACAAGACAGACAATGCCTGGTGGCTGCAACCTATATCAGAACAAATGAGCTCCACAGACAGGTCCTTGGGATCCCCGCCCATCCGCAGCACATGAAGAACTGCTCTATTTACACCGCATGGTACACAAGTAAATGTCACAATGACTCTAAAAGCCTCTGGCCTTAAGTGTTGCCTTTGGTTTGCATGCCCAGATGCCGAGCTGCTTCTCTAGGAAGCACTGAAACCATCTGAGGATCAATCCCCTGCTTCCCGGACTAACTCCACATATTCGTTAAGCTCTATGAACAAAGCAAACCGTTTCTCCTCTGCCAGCAGGCTAGTGGCCAAGCTGCCGGTCGTCATAAGTGCTGTATCTCTTCACGTGGATGCGGCGCACTCGGTCGCGCAGTTCAAAGCCCTCATCATCCTCGCTGTGAGATGCCTGGCTTCGGTTCCGGCTCGTCGCCTCCAGCAGGGAGTTGTCAGGTACACGTGGAGTTTCATAAAGTAAAACGTTTAGTGTCTCCTCGTAGATACGCGCTTCGGGGAACTCAACCTAGGGAAGAGATAGCATGCTTTTTCCTGATGCAGACTGGGTAACAAGACAGGAGCCCCTCTACTGCTTATTGGTGAAGGAATTTCAAATGCGAATGCACATGAGGATGGATGTAAAGGCAGAAGAGACCTGTGAGATAATCTCATCGCATCCCCCAGGGTACGATTTTACTTTACGTTCTCTAGTGCTTTCACTAGCCTAGGTTTTGATGTCCCAACTCTTGGGCCATCTGCCACTTCTCTTGGGAGACTCCTGCAGAATCTACCACATCTCATTGTCAGGATGTCATTTCTGATACTGAACTGCACAGTCTAATCTCATTCTATTCTCACCGGCACACGTGCAAATCAGAAGTACCTCTGTTGAGGCCAGAGGTATTACTCTAGATTTATCACGTTGTAATTAACAACAAAGCAACACATTTTTCTTCTTAAAACAGTTAATATTCAGCCCAAATTGAAATTCCCTCTCTCAGTCTTTCCTCCTTATTTATTCCTTCCACTGACCTAACCATATTTTTTGCTCTTCTCTGGATTCCGTTCAATCTGCCAGCATCTTTTGGATACTGATATGCCCAGGACAGAATGCAGCTTGCTAGCCAAGTGTTTTCCAAGCAGTGGGTCCCAACCCACCAGTGAGTCACAGGAAAGGTCTAAGTGGGTCACACATGCCCCAGAGGCAGTCCCTCCCTCCCATGCTCTCGCTTCCCCTGGGCAGTGGCATAGGGAGCAGGATCTGGACAGCAGTAGCACGGAAGAAGTAGCTTGAGTCAGTGAGCAGACAGATGGCAGCCTGGTAGACATCGCAGCCTGGCTGAGGCTGCAGATGAGGCAGGGCTGGGAGAGTGAGACTCAGGGGGCTGGAAGGTTGAGACCGTTGGAGAGAGAAAGAGAGTAAGGATAATGCAGACAAAAGGCAATTGGGTGGGTCACCAGTAAAAAGTTGGGGAACCACTGTGCTAGCCAATGAGTGGCCCCAGTCATTTGGATTTCATTGACCATCAACGGCACTCAGTCAGCGAGTTGAGGCCACCCATGACCATACCTTCTCCTACTGACCTGGTCCGAGTCTCAGAGATCTCACATGGCTGTGCAAAGCGCTACCAACTTTGTTACTTAACCACAAGATCCAAGGAGGACAATTCCCAGTACCTTGGTTTGTTTCTTTTCCGTGGCGTACACTATCGAGGTGCAACAGACCTCAGCGAGCTTCCGCCCCTGTCCGTAGAAAGACCAGCAGCAGATTTCATCCCCTATAACATCCTTAATGAAGAGGACTCGGCCATTGAAGCGGAGAGAAAGTTTATCGAATAGTTCGATGTTCTTCAGTAAGTTATCGTCCGAGTTACTGAAACACAGCAGCAAAGGCAGTGAAAAGGTCTTTGTGGTTTAGCAGGATACAGCTAGTGACTCATTGCGATGCATTGGAGAACAGCCAACTTGGAACACAAATAGGATGCACGGCTCCTATTAGCAAATGCTCCTTTAGAGGTCAAATGGTGTAATTAATATAATGGTAGCCGTTTCCTATGTCATTATAGCAACAATCTAAACCTACATCCTGACCAACGCCGGAGCTGATTAAATCATATGCTTACTATGGTTCTATTTAGCATGGCAACAGGAAATGACCCCAGAGAGCCAACGCAAGGGTCAGCAGAACGTGTCCAAGCGTGAGTAGAACTGTCCTCCTTGTACCTAGAATGATACAGGGCACATTTTTCAAAAGCATCTAAGTGACGTAACTGCTCTTGAAAACTTTTACCCACTGTATCGCTTAAATATATTTGAGTTTAATAAAGATGTCACGTGATCCTGAGCCTATCTTGGTAATGATGTCATGTAAACAACATGGTCAAACTCTAAAAGACAGGCCCCTACTACTCTGGCATTAATTTCAGCCCAGTTCAGCCAAACGTATGTAACCCACTCGGAGCGGTGCTCTGTCCCCCTCATGTATGGCTTGGCCACACCGAGGTTGATGAGCCTGCGGCAGCCTTGGCTAACAGACCTGGTCTTTTAGCTCAGGCAGTCAAGGCTCATGCTTTTGGGTCCAGAGCCCCAGATTCAATCCAGATGCTGGTGCCTCACCCCATGGTACTCCACGAGGGCCACATCCACAGTACAAACCTATATTGGTATAACTACGTCGCTCAGAAGTGTGAAAAGTCCACACCCCTGAGCAACAGTTATACAGACTTAACCCTCTGTGTAAACAGCGCTATGTTGACCGGAGAGCTTCTCCGGTCAACCTAGCTACCGCCTCTCAGGGAGGTGGATTAACTACGCCTATGGGAGAAGCTGTCCCATCGGCATAGTAATGTCTTCACTAGAGCACTACAGCACTGGTGCAGTACTGTACGTGAAGATAAACCCTAGTAGCCCTGCTGAGGCCAGTGGGTCTAGCTGTGAAGTGAGGCACTCCCCATGAGAAGGGTGGCAGACGCAGGCTCTAAGGCAGTGAGTATTCGCTTTAGAGGCCTGAGAAACATTTGCGATCAAAACGGAGGACGGGTGGAATAGCGCAGGCCAAAGGCTTCCGCTCTCTGGGGCGTGAGACCGATTGGCCCCGAATCCTAGAAGTGTCGAAGTTCAGCGTTTAGTATTGGTTGGATGTCTTGGTCTGGCATTCAGCTAATGGTCTTCAGACGTACTGTGGCAAAACCAAGCCACTGCATCATCCCGGGCCAAACTAACTTGGGGAAACTTCAGAGGCCTCCAAACATGGAGGGGGAGGGAGAGGTCGCCAGGCGAGAAAAAGAGCTGTAGAAGCAACATAGTAAAATGGACAACCCTTAAAACCCTAGAAAAATCATACTTTGTGCTTATGCAGCACCTTGGAGATTCTTCTGTAGGTATTTTTCATGATGATGGGTAATTGTCACCATTTTATAGGTGGGGAAATAGAGGCTTTAAGTGTTTTGCTAAGGTAACAGAGCAAGTGGCAGAGCTGGAAAAAGAACCCAGGAGTCCTGGCTCCTAAAACATTCTGTCACATTGTCTCCTTACTGATAAAGTAAGTGAGCAAGCGATCTTCACTGATGAGGATTGGGAAGAATTGGCAGGGCGGGGAAGAATATTTTTTATCCTGGTAAGATATAGTGTCTATAAAGAGATCCTCATATAGCTGCCATCAAGGCATAAAAAGCCATGCAAAAGGAGTAATTAGAAGCTCAAGTTAACTGAGCCGTCCTTGCGTACGGCTCCAGGCTTCTGTCGCTCCCATCCGTGCCTCTCCGACTTCAGACCCCTTCTCACTAATATGCTATTTTGTCCTTAGCGCAGCATCGTCGCTGGATAATAACGGGAAGCATGGCCAGGAGCGCCGCGGAAAACACAGACCCCAGCTGGATGATGAATGTGCCGCTCTCTAGCATTCCCTAGTGGCCACCTGCAGTTACACGTTTGTTAGATGCCGTCTCTCTGGCAGACAAACAGCACACATGTCTAGAGACCCAAGGAGGTTGACAAAACCTCCATGACAGTGTCTCAGAACGAACAGGCAAATGGCTAAAATTCTGTGCGCGGCCGCCCCCGCCCTTAGGGCTGGCTGTGTTGCTTCAAGCTCCTGATCTGGGAAAACCAGGAGCCACTTTGGCAGTGGTGTGGCACTGAGGGCGGGGGGTGTCACAAGAGTTACACCACAGAACCCAAACCACAGAACCCAAACCACACTCTGTTTCTTCCCTCAGTGACACACAAGGAGAGCAACTATCCTTAATGCTAGAGCCGTACAGGGGCAGTTCCTGCTCTGATATGTTTTACATCTCTGCCTTTTACATCTCCTTTACGACTATGTAATTAATTGATTTCAAAAGGGGTGGGGCTGGAATAACCAGGGGTGCTGTAGGTCAGGACCGAGGTGGGTTAGCAGGGCTGCACGGGAGCTCAGGAATTGAACGGCAGAGGAAGGTACAGGTCACAACTGCATTAGCATTGCAGCATGGGGGTGGAAGTTTACCCTGCATTGCCTTACTCTACCTGGCTTCAGCCAGTGTTAATAGTAGTCATGCTTCTCTGAGCACTTTGAGAGACAGCCACCTCCACCACCCACACGCGGAGCTCTAACAGGCTGCATTCCCCCTGCAACCCAAGGAGCCTGATCATCCTCTGTCAATCAAGAGTAACTGCACTCAGGTGCACGGAGAAACACTCCTGGAAGAGGAGAATCAGGCCCTTGCACACCCAGCCCCAGTAGCTTACGAGGCACTTTTACCGTCCGCGTGGAACACTCAAGACATACCTGGTGTAGGAATATTTGTTGTTGCTCCTGTTATAAAGCAGCTTGACAACAGGCTGTGAGGAGAGAAAAGAACAAAGGCAGGGCAGGTGAGTGGTGTACTGTAAAGAGGTTGGCAGAAATGCAGCGAGTGGTGATGGAAAAGCAGTTACTTTCATGGAGGATTCGATGAGCCTCTCTTCTTCCTTTGGAGACGTGATGATGGGGATGTTACAGACGGGCTCGTACGAGTCTTTCTTGTCCTGGTTCAAATAAAATAAGAGATATAATTAACGTGGGCCCTGTTCCCCAGCCCTCCAATTCAGAGAAAGAGCACAACGTTGCTATAGTAACCCCACCATATTACCGTGATCTGCAACCCAGAAATACAGCAGAGATGTTCCTTAGCCCCGAAAGGCCGTGATAATTGAAACATTCGGATGCAAATGGATGTCATTCCTACCTACGGCAACAACTCCGAGCCTGCTGTGGGTTTGTGTTCGGGGGCTGTGATGTTCTAGCCCCTTTGACAAAGGGGGCAGGGGAAAATGCTTGGGCCGGTTTTATCAACTGCCCACGGTAGATCAGTCATCACGAATCACACATTTGCTGGAGAGAAATGCACCTCGCTGAAATGGACCCAAACCCTTTGTTGTACAAGCAACAAGCTATTGCTTGTAGCAGACGCTAACTCCAGCTTCCTTATGCAACGAGCTATAGCACCAACTACTGGTTTCTTGAGTAGAAAATATATAAAAAAAATAATCAAAATCTGTTGTCTATCTACTTACATGGCCCCTTTACTGTAGTATCGGAGCATCTCACAATCTTTAATTCTCTCAACACCCCTAGGGGGCAGGGAAATGCCACTATCTCCAGTTTACAGAACGGAGGCCCAGAGAAGCTGTGACTTGCCCAAGGTCACACAAGGGAGTTTGTGGCGCGGCAAGGACTTGAACTCAGGTCTCTCAAGTCGTAGGCTCTAACCACTGGACCATCCTGCCTCTCTTTAGGCTGCAATAGCACCTTATTCCCGAAGTGCTTCACAAGCCACGTACACACTCAGCACGGCTACACTTCCGCCCCCTCTAGGGTGGAAGCCAGGAGCAAATAGTGGGATTAGCTGGGGATATTTTGCCCTAGTGATCATTCCAAATCCCTTCTCTAACAAGAAGCATCACAGAACACTTAGTGTCCAGGCAGAGCAGAGAACAACATGGTTTTAAGCTCGTATCCAAAAGCGCAAGAGGTATGTCTCTCAGTTTATCTGCCTTGCAAAGAGACCCAGATGGGGATCAAAACTGATTTTAGACATTTCAGACCTGATATCAGCCATCCCCTGGAGTTGCACCAGTACCTCATTTAAACACAAGCATTTTTAAAGTACGTACAACAGAAGGTAGGTCCCCAATAATTTTTAGAAGTGAAAAAAACTCAGGCTGCTGCCACATCTTACCTGGAGAGCTGCCTGGCACATGTCTACTAAGCCCTGAATTAGGTAATATTTCGCTTCTGCCATCAGCTCTTTGATCTCCTGCCTGTTTTTTGGAAGCGCGATAGTGTCGTCTCGGAGGTAATTTAAAATCACACCAAAGTGTTTCCCACAACGGTCTATAAGGATCCACCCTGAAAGACAAACACCACAACATTTGAGTGCCGTGTCGTACCAAGGGAGGCAAGCAGCAGCTCAGCAAGGAGGCAAAACGTAGAATCTCAGTGCAACAGCTCTCAGGCCTCCTCTGTGGATAATCCATCTTCCGAGTGTCTCTTGCAATGGAGCTTGACCAAATTCCCCAGGTAGTCAGTGGGAGTCTTTTTTGACTTCAGGGGAGCTAGATCTGGCCCACAGAAGAGAAACTGACAGAGGAATTGCTCTTCTCAATGGTCCAACCACCAACCTCCCAAAAGGAAAAAGATTCCACGCAGATTCCAAAGCCTAATAAGACCTAGATGAAAGAATCTGAAAACACTCAGGCTTTCACTAAGAGGGACAAAAAAAACCCCCGTAAGAATCCTAGTGCATTGTTTTCTAGTGCACTGATCAATCCACACACTTTCATCCCAGAACTGTTTTCTGTGCCTCGTCTTCTCCATATTAGATTCCAATCAACTGGGGACATGGATCCATTTAAATATTATGGGAAGTTACCAGTTGGCACTATTACAGTAGTTCTGTTTAACTGACTGTTTAGGCAGTTAGATCTTAGAAAAATGCTTATTGTTAAATGTGGGGCAATTTTTTTTTTAAGAAGCTCAGCGCTATACCAGAGAAGTTGGTTCTTACTGCCTTCATGTCTGAGTGATTTCTGTGGCCTAGAGGTTGTGTGGGCAAACAGAAACATTGCATGGTGCCAGAACAGTACAGCCACGTGAAATGCAGTGAACCCTGGAACCCAAACTCCAAAATAATAGTCGTGAGAGTGAGTTTGGGGTGGGAAGGCTTTTCAGGAGTCCTATTTGATTTTTTTTTTTTTAAGTTGTTGGAATGGATTTTGTGATTTTTAACCTTTGCGCCTAGAGAACATGATACGCTCAAACATGAATATATATCAAGATCTAGGTGTTCAGCAATAAGAGAGATCTATTGGACTGGTGTAATAAATATTTTAAAGCAGTTAAATATTCTTCAAGTGTTTACAACAAATATGCATAATTCAATAATAAAAGCTAAGTGAAAATACAGGACTCTTCCCTTAACCCTCTACAAGGGATGGGTAGACGCCTGCCAATGTACATTGCCGTGCAGAGAAGCAGATGCAGTATTGCCAGGCAGCTTAGTACTAAGAAAGTATCAGAAAAACTAGAGGCGACTTGCCAAAAGCGTTTGCAAATTCTAAATGGATCTGAGTCTAAGTTCTGCACACCACCTGCTGGCATTTGGCAGAGGTTTCACCAGTCCTCTTTCCCAGTTCTTGAGAGAGAAATCAAAGCAGCATTCCACAGATGCCAAGATATAGAACAGGCCAGTGAAACCAGTGAGGGAAAGGCCATTCTGTATATGCAGGGAGAAATGCAGGAAAGCCACTGAACAGGAAAAAACTCAGCACAGGTGCCTCATTCGTTGTGGAGAAGGATGTAGAACTTGCCATCAAACAACGCTCACGTAAGCTGCGAACAGCAGCAGGAAGCATCCGCCTGAACTGTCTTGCGTAACAGGCGTTCTAATGTGGAGTTAACATGCAAGGAGGGCAAGAATTTGCAATGAGTCAATCTTACATTAACAGGGGATGAACACCACCACCACCACCACTTTGGATTTCCACAGTGTCTTACATACCTGGATCTCACAGAACTTTACAAACATTAGCAGATTCGCGTCCCTGCACACTTAGGGTGGTATCACTCTCCCTTTTTCAGATCTGGTCTAACACACTAAAGATATGCTATCACAGCGATTTAGTTAAACTGAGTATTTGACAGGCACACTACACTGATATATGCCAGCTTCATACCAAAGTACAATATCCATACACAAAGTTGAACTGAGTTAGTTTAAACCTGGTGCAATATCGCCCCTTTAGTTTAACCAGTGCAACCTCTATGTGTAAATGAGCAATATGAAATACCAAGAGATTAAGCGATTTTCCCAAAGTCACAATAAATACATGGCACAGCAGGGGCTAGAATCCAAATCCCCACGTTCCCAAGCAAACACTCTCAACATGCAAGATCATTCTTCCCTGGGATGCGCAAATAGATTTTTTTTCCTGCTTTTGCTTATATTTGTATTGAGCGAGTGTATCTAGAGGGCCCCAATCAGGGACATATTCTCTCTCTCTCTGTCTCTCAACATAATTCCGCAACTCTACTGAGCCCACATTTTTTCTGCTCCTAAACATGTAGTTTGGCCTAGCCCATTGCTAGGCGGCATGTGAAAGCATTCATGGCCACTGCTCATACAGATGCTCTTCCTTGTTCTCCTATTTAAATAAAGCTGCCGAGTTAAACTCGTTTAGACTGTAAACTCATTGTGGCATCGACTATCTTTTTTTATTATCCATGTGCACAGTACAATGTGGCCCTGATCCCTGACTGTGGCCTTTAAATGCTACCTCAATTCAATTATATGAATATCAGAATCAACAAGTAGCACATGCCACGGAGACCAAAAAACAGCACCTGGGTTTGGCAACACGGGTCTGAGCTTAAAACAATAAAAAGTGCTGCCACTTGTCTGCCCCCTTCCCACATTTCAATTGATGCCTCTACACAAGTGCCAACCCACACGCATATGTTCAGTCCTGACAGCAGCGTAAGCCATCCACATACCAGCTGCGACAGAAGTAGAGCGAATGATTCCTTGCTCCAACTAATGTTGGTAATGAAGGGGGAAGTTTACTCTCCTTGGTGCCTTTGAAAAGAAATCTCCGCCTATATCCCATGCATTGACAGAGTCCTAGGGCAGGTCTTCACTACCTGCCGGATCGGCGGGTAGTGATCCATCTATCGGGGGTCGATTTATCGCGTCTAGTGTAAAATTGATCCCCGATCGCGCTCCCCGTCGACTCCGGAACTCCAGCTCGCGAGAGACGGAAGCAGAGTTGACAGGGGAGTGGCAGCGGGCGATTCGCCGCCGTCCTCACGGCCAGGTAAGTCAACCTAAGATACGCTGACTTCAGCTACGCTATTCGCGTAGCTGAAGTTGCATACCTTAGGTCGACCCCCCCGCTAGTGTAGACCTGGGCCTAGTCTCAGACACGCATGCGGCTCCTGTCGGTGCTCCCTTACCTTCCTTGTCAGTCAGTACTTCCATCCTGCCACTGAACATGGCCTTCAGCATGGTGTCGTGCCTGGTCAGCACCTGCACTGTGGTGTAGTACAAGGAGCCCCCAACGTTGAGCCGCACATACTTGTTGCCCAGGCTACCCTCTCTAAAGCTGCAGGTTTTGGGCTTGGCTCCTGAAGATCGGCAGATGGTGGTCAGGCACGTGTCCCCAGACATCTCCTTCTGCAAGTAGATGACGACTCTGCAGAGGGTTGGCTTGATGGATTCCGCCGTGGTTGGGCAGGGGTCACGAATTGCCGGATGGGGAGGGCAGGGTAGGAATGGTCATAAGTCGCTCAAGTCCTGGGTAGAGTTAGAAACAAGGAGAAGAGGATGAGATCAAGGAGGAAGCCTAGAATTACCGTCCGCAATGAAACATGCAGCCTGCATCAAAGAAGGGAGGGGACTGTTAAGAGGATACAGTCTCTAACCCTGAGGTTCCCACGTCAAAGCTAGCCTAGGTGGATTGTTACCAACACCTAGCAGCTGGGTAGCTTCCGCAACGGAGTTCTGAGGGAATCTTCATCGGTTTTTATTAGCCAAGCTCTACAGTTTTTGACCGCACTCAGTGTTGGTCTGGCACTGTTACTGTTCTCACTGAAGACAATAACAACTCCCATTGACTTCAATGGGAGCAGAGCTAGGGCACTTTTAAAAATCCCACCTAAGATGTTTAAAAGAAAGGGGAATAAGGAGGACGGGGATAAACAGACAGAATTTGGACTTTATTTTAGTAGCCAGCCAGGAACATTGCTGGTCTTAATGTATGTTTATAAACCACTTTGATAACAAAGGCAAGGTATTATTAGCAGACATAACTGAAAGGCTGAATGAAGGACTGAAATAGGGAAACTATAGAACAATTCTCTGAGTTTCAACGTCAAGGTCTGAGTGCATGCCTAATTACAAATGTGTCGGGAAGTGAGCTCTTTCCTCACAACAAAGTCATGAGAAAATAATCAGGCCTGGCGTTTGGTAAGTGTTTAACAAAGGAGCCTGTGGCAAAAAAATTTGGTTTTGATTCTCTTTTCAATACGAGACAAAACTCTGCAGCTTATTTCAAACGATCAATTGAAAATAATGGCGCTTCCACCCCATTTAGCCAAATAAAGCTTTTCTGGACTTTGCAAAGCTTAGCCATCAACCAGACCTGAACTCACTGGGAAATACGGCAGTCTGAACGTATCTGTGCAGTGGCAGGAACTCTGCTCTCCCTCAGCTTCCCAGAAGGATATTACACGTCTTGCTCAGATCCTATCCTACACAATAGGAGAGTTTCCTGCACTTCCGCTAGCTGAAACAACAGCTTGTAGATCTTTTCTTTTAATTGGAAATCTGTACAGCAGCTGTGGCAGTCTCCGTTTTCAATGATTACAATTAAACCCAGTAATCACAGTTTGGGTCATTCCATTTCTCCATCCATACTCCATTTCTTGGTACATCCTTACACAGACATAGTTGTTCCTGCTGCATCCTAGCAGGTAGGGTAGCTGATGCTGTATTAGAGTTCTAAGATGGAGAAAACTTTTGGGGATCTGTTTGCTGGAACATCCCTTACTGATGAGTGCAGATGAGAAACTAAGCTAACCTGTCACTAATCCAGTCTGAGCCCCACCCTGGCCTCTGCTCTCCTCTCTCATCCCAACACAAGGTAAACAAGAAATAGAACCAAAAGAATAAAAGCAAAGATGGGCCAATTCTAACATGTCAGATCCAAAATCCTCTAACTGGAAAAATGTGAATCTAGATTTCATGGGGACTGCACTGCGTTCAGCTGAACCCAGGAGCAATTTCACTTTGCTCCCAGTGCTGAAATCTTTTTTCCTTCCCTCCCACTATGCCATAGTCTACTTATCTGTCCATTCCGGATTGCAAGCTCCTCCTTGTCATCTCACTTCTCTGTAGCATCAGTGGCCTTGTACAAATAACCTGCTATCCAATAGTCCCGTTCTTTACCACCATACAGACAGCATGAAAGAGCTAAGCATCAATCTGGTATAGAAAAACCTCTTGATAGCTACAGACGGCATCTTAATGGTAAGAGATTTGAAGAACTCCTGACTTTACAGGCATAGAAGAATGCTCTGATAGCGTCATTTCCCATTTTGATTGCTGTATCTGAGTAATCACTACAGGCGGGCTCTATTAATCCACAGGGAGTAGGAAGCAAACTCTGTAGTTTGCAAGGACACAGCAAATTCCACAAAGCATTTTTTAGGCCAAAGCAGGTCAGTCAGGTTATAACTGGCTCTAACTGGCACTCCTATCCGCTGTCAACATTCTTAACCTTGAGCTGAACAGTCCTAGAAAACAAAGCAGAAGTTCTTTTCTCCCTCTGAACACAACAAAGTTGCTTCCTAGCTGATCACGTTAACCAAGCATCCCAGAGATCACTATGAATCACAGGCAATCACACATCTCAATTGTTGATCTACAGGCGATTAATCACTCTAGGCTGTGATCACCAAGACCTGGTTGTGAGAGTACTGTCACACGGCAAGACCACTGAACAAAATAATACCTTTCGTTTCTCTAGGACCTTTTATCAAGGTCACTTAAGAAGTCTGTCATGGGAATGGGATGGGAATAAAGCCCAGGTCTCCTATCTTATTTCAGATACCCTGACCTGTGCTTTCGCTGCTATATAATCCATCCTCCATTATTTCAGTGCTTTGTATTTCTTATCTTGGGGGAGAAAAGATCAGTTAAGTCAGGTTTATTTTTGTTTACCGGCATTCTCACTTGTAGGTTTAAGTCGCTGAAGGGAAATCTACTGATTTAAAATCAACTGGCTTCACTTGGATTTTTTTTTAAACAATTAAAGTACTCCTAGATTTTTACATAAAGTTTGTTTTTACAAAATTTAATTTTCAAGCCCAGTTAATGAAGGGAGTGTCCCTTTAAATAAAAACACCTTTAAAGACCTTCAGACAGAGTGATGATAAAGGTTTTGAAAAGGACAGAATTCAAGTGTCTGATCCTGCAATGAGTGGCAGATCTCCACACCCAGAGTCCCATGAACCCTACCTGGGTCTTCCTGACTGCATCTCATTGCAGAATCAGGGTCTCAGTTAGTGCTATTATTTTTCCCAACGAAGCAGAGAGTAGAGTAAAATGGGGAAATCCTTTTTGCCAACCAGTCAAGCCACATAAGAGCAAATACCATTGATTTAACATGTTAATAAAGACGTAGGCTAGGAGACTTCACCCATACTCAGCAAGGAAACCCTCAATTACTGTCTTTACTGTAAGAGGAAAAGTTTGTTATTCTGTCCTTCTTTCCTGCCTTGTGAGGGAGGAGAGGCGCAAGATTGGACACACAATAATACAACGTTTCATAGCTCACATCAGGAAATTGTCCCAGTTAAGAAATCCCAGTCCACATCATAAACTGCTCAAGAGAAGCATTCAAACAGCATCATTTGCAAACCAAGCATTACAAAGGACACTCCCCGTCTCTTGGTCCAGCCCAGTATGGAGCTGGAAGATAGAGACAAACCGGTGTATTAGTTTTCACTTGTATTACAATAGCACCTAGAGAGGCTCTAGCAGACATCAGGGCTCCATTGTGATAGGCCCTGTACAAACACGTAACAAGAGACAGCACCTCCACCAAAGAGTTTACAATCTAAATAGACAACAAACACCACCACTACGCTCTTACATAGCGCCTTTCATCAGATCTCAAAGCGCTTTACAAAAGAGGGGGAGATAATATCTTTAATTGGACCAATTTCTGCTGGTGAAAGAGACAAGCTTTCAAGCGATGATGGAGATCAGTATCGTTATCTCCATTTTACACAGCGGGAAAACTACCCACAGGCAACAGAAGTAACTTGTCCAAAGTCAGTGGCAGAGCCAGGAACTGAAACCAGATCTCCTATTCGTATTAAGAATTTATTTGTAGGAAAGAATACTTATTGGCAGGCAGCGCGGCCCAGTCAATAGAGCACTGGACTGGAACTCAGGAGACTGGCCTTCAATTCCTGGCTCTACCATAGACCTACTGGCTGACCTTATGCAAGTCATTTTCACCTCCATGCCTCAGTTTCCCCATCTGTAAAGTGTGGATAATGCTGCTGACCTCCTTTGTCAAGCATGTTGAGATCTCTGGATGAAATGCACTGTATAAGCGCTAGGTAGTACTACTAGTAATAGTTTGACCAGAGAATGAAATCAGTACATTGTTGGAGAGAGTTCTGCTGGGTACTGCTGACAATATTTAACAGTATGTTTCAGCAACTACTTTATTGCATATTCGTAGGGTGGCAAAAGAGAGACCTTTCCCCAGGTTCGGCTACAGATTGCAGAGAAAATCATGACTGAACAATCAGGAATTTATTTGCAAGGTAAGAGGTGTGGGGGAGAGTGAAAAAGGAATCTAAGAATTCCCTGCTCTAAATAAAAAGAGAGAGAGCACTTTCCATCTTCAGGGCATCCTCAGAATCCCCATGAGAAGTACCAGCTGCAGGGGGCCTGCTTTATAGAGGAATAAAATATTTCTGTTTATGGGTGCCTCTGTGCTGTTACATTTACAAACATTAGGTCACCCACACTATACCCCTTGGAGGTAGGGAACGCGAAAAATTCTTAGCCCCACTTCACAGGTGGAGAGAACCACAGCCCAGCCCCAACGAGCTAACTGTTGGGTAGGACACATCCCCTGAAAACACTGTAAAACTCTTTGGGGAAGGGACCA